ACCTCGGGCATGAGCACCTTCAGGGAGTTCAGAGTCATGTTTGAATCCAAATGCTGTGGATTAGGCCCTCTTCAGCAGATACACACCCATTAACTGAGAATAAGCTTGTGCTGCTTAGAGGGAAGCTTGGAGGGATGTAACATCATATCCTCCTCTGTCAAGGTATAAGGGATGTTAAAAGCCACTCAAACAGAAAGGCCTGTGTTTTCTTCTGTACACTGAATACAACTGAGTTTTTGTGGGTTCCTGCAGGATTCTGTGGGTTTCCTTATTACAGAAAAAAATAATTTTTTTGGAACCCTCGGAGTAAAGTCAACAGTCTCATGTATGTAAAGAAAATTGCTTTATCTGACACTGCAGGTGGCTGTTTTAACTTCACAAGGGCAACTTTTGCTGACAGTGTGCCTGTCCATGCATATTCCTAATTCTGTGCTTCCTTTTTCCTCCCAGTGAAACTAATACTTTATTAAAGGAATTCAGCAGGGGAGCAGAAGTACCAAATATAATCAAGCTTCTACCTGTTTTGTGAAAATGGATGACCAGCTACAGTAAGAAAAACTGTGTGTAATGCCTAACAGAGGTGAAAAGGAGATGTTCATGTTCATGCATCTCCCACATGGGACAAGCTTTTAAGCGGGCCCCAGACAGACGAAAAGTTTCAAATGGAGCCTGTGCTTTCTTTGACTCTAAAGTCAGTCAGGCATGCAGCAGAAATATATGGGGCACAGGACTTCCTTATTTCCTGTGCCTGTGGAAGTCCTTGTTTAAGTAATTAGTCTTCATGACTGTATACTAATAGCTTATATAAAGAGAATGCTTCTGGTACAGTTGTTTTTTATGCAAGAGCAGATGAAACAGCAGTTGTGCAAGAGATTTCCCTTTGTGAATTAACCTAACAACTGCAGGGTCAATTACCTCTTACCCTCCCCTACACTGACGTGGAACAGCAGCTGCCTCCTGTGTTCTTGCTGCCTGGAAGGCATAAGAGTATATGATAGGTACATTGTTTTAATTAGCACTCTTGCATGGACTTACACTCAATTAATGTTAGATTTAGTGCATGATGAAGCAGCTTGAGAACTGTCAGAAGGAAGGCAGCTGGGTAAGGATGTTGGTTTGATCTCTTTTGTACCTTGAATCTACCAGGAAAAGGTTTGACTTCCTCTAATGAGCATTGCCAGTGTGCTTGGTGTCCTAAGTATGGCTCATTGCTTTTCAATCTCATTTCCTAAAAGTCTTGGCTGAGTGACATACCTCATTATTCCCTGACATGGAAAAACAACCATGACTGTTTCTTAAATTTCTGAAGCAAGTTCTGTGGGAGACGTATGATCTGAGAAATGCCTGAGCAATACTTTGGCTCTTCAACTCTGTTAGGATACCACAACATCCCACAGTTTACCCTAGAGGCATATGCAGCAAGATATCCCTGCTGAAAGACGTTTTGTGGTACTTTTTTTGGTTTGCAATATGGTCTCTTCATTGTGGAGACAAGAAATCTGTGCAAGATAATTTGAAAGCATAATTTGACTTTCTTTTTCTCCATATATTCACAAGACATAAGGGTATCTCTGAGGCATGAGTTCTAATTAAGGATATACAGAGAAATTTTCATGCAAATAAACTTTGGGATGTCTATACAAGAAAGCAACCAAACTACTATCAAGTAAATTAGCTGCAGTGTGAGATAGCAGAGAAAAGGTTTTCCTCAGAGATGCTTCTTAACAGCCTTCCCATATTTTCTGTCTCATAATATCATTCTTTCTCTTTTCTCTTATATAATTTTTTTTATTTTATTTTTTCAGAGGGCTTTTTTCAAATGTAAGTGTTTATATAAAGGAACCAGGTATAGATAAGAAACTTTTACTGTTGCAAACACTTTCATCAAAGCAATTTGTGTCATTCTTGGAAGAGGCAGCCTTTTCCTTTGTGTTTCTCTCACAGTTGTGACTGATTTACCATCTATCTCCCTTTCCTTGGCACTTAGAGTTTTGCAATTTAAAAATCCCAATTTTCTGGAAAGATGAGTCTGGCTGTGAACACAACTTCTAAAGAGCAACACTGGAAGAAAAATTAAGAGCAGAATAGTCCCTAGACATGAAAATAAAGTTAAAAATAAAACAAACAAACAACAACAACAAAAAAAAAGAAGAAAATAAAGAGAGAACTCTCCCCTGGCATGTCTGTTTGTGGCCCTCTATGTTCCATTGTAACATTAAGGCTTTCATCTTGGAATATCTAAATCAGTATTCCCCAGTGAGCAGGACACCAGCACCTTTCACCCTGATGGCAGCACTTTCCTGAAAGTGTTCCTCCATACCCCTTTAAACACACATTCCTTTTCCCCTATTAGCAAATAAATCTGTCCTTTAAAAATATAGGTTTTCTGCTTTCATTTTTCCTTCCTCCAGTATAACAAACAAAAGACACAGCTTTCCATTGTCTGAATGATGGCAAGTATTTTAAAGAACATTAACAGGACTTTTCTGAAAGCATATATTATTACTCTGCTACTGGTGCTTTTAGTCTCATTATCAACAAGACAAATCATTTTTATTCAACTCTATTTATACATGTGGTAGACCAAGAGAAAATGTTTTTAAAAAGGCTCAATGAGGTGTTACTTAAATGTGGTTTTCAGCTTTAAGTGATTTATTATCTATAAATTGAAAGATTTCAGTTGAGAAGGCTCTAAGACGCCACACTCTTCCTCCTCTTTGCAAACTGTCTTTGAGCTAAGATTACAGCAGGTGAAAGTTCTAATGTCTGTTCAACAGATCTTATGAAATAATTACATCCAGGAACCATTTGGTTCTCATTAGATCCAAGACTGAAGGAGCAAAATATTTTGAAGGAAGGAAACTTCCCTACCCCAAGAAACACCCCACATCCACACACAAATATCCTATAGGAGAGCTCTTTCTCACTCCAATAGCTGCTTAGTAAGCACACAAATCCAACGCCTTCTTTTTCTCCTTGTTGTCTCCAGTTACTCCAACTAGCACTGCTATGGCTCTCCTGTATGATGGAGAATCCCCATCACCAGACTGAAGAGTAGCTTCAGAAGAGGAAGAAAGTACATGTAGTGTTCTATAGTCATGATCCCTGCTTTCTTTTGTTTGTTTTACTTTGTGTAGATGATGCTCTTCAGAAATTAATTCTGGCCCAGAAAAATCCCTCATAAATGAGACCCAGGAGATCCTGTGTAAATCTCAATAGACCAGCCATCAGAGAGCTGGCTCAGAGCTTCACTTTTTTCCTCCCCTAAAATAAATTTCTCTTTCTTTCCTGAGGCCTTTGCTTCATTTTCTGTGACCAGAGATGTTGCCTAAGTGTGAAAGGAGAAGGAAGCTGTCAGCAGCTCAGAATGGGTATATAATTGGCAGCAGAACATTACATTTCTCAAGTAGAAAACCCTTTTTTTCCCACAATACATGGCAACTGTAGACCTTCTGACATCAGGATTTATGTCTGGAATGGCAACCTTAAGAATGCCTTAAGGGTGAGCAACTACTGAGATTTTCTTTGATAATCAGATAATTAATTCATCAGAAGCTATGGGAGCTGAGCACAGAGTTACTTATGGGATTCTAATGAATATCTATTTATATCTTCAGGTGCCAAACCCAGTGCCATGCATCCTGCTTGTTCCTAACAAACCTTGAAGTCTGAGCACTGTCAGCACCCTCTAAAATTACATGAAGGCTGACATGGGAAAGTTACTCTAATTTTCTGGGATGTATTTGTATGAATGGCAAGAAGAGAGAACAGGAAGGTGTTTCTTTTGTTCATTATTAACTCATTAGATGTCCATTGAAAAATTATTAGCAGAAAAAAGGAAAAGAGAGGCTGAAATTGAAAGGTACAGATTTGTTTGCCAAAATTTCATAGTCATCACTGTGACTCACCTTACATAATCACTATTTTAACTCCCCGTGTTTCAGAGATGCCTCAACTCTGCAGCTTCCTCAGATGGTTTTAATTACAGATACCCAAGAAAAATTATGGTGAAAGTAGTGACAGTTCACAGTGGCCCCTGAGATGTTGGTCTAGCCAGTACAAAAAGAAGCTAAATCCAGTCCTTTTATATCCTACCATCAAGAAGATGGGCAACAGATGTTGAGAACTATTAATATACACTTCAAGAGTATGAAGGGTGGTGTCCTTCCATCAGGAAGCACATCAGTATTGCTGTGGTTTATTGTCTCATCTCCTGCTACAAATATTTTCATTGTTTAACCACCTAATATGGACTTCTGCTTCTTATGGAAGCTTGGCTCAAGGGTTTTGAGAGATCTCTCAAAACTGCAATCCCTTGTGCTGTAGAGACAGCTGCAGCTCTGCTACTCCTGTATTTTCGGTCTCACAACTCATGCAAGTTTATGTATCTCTCTAACCTGTTTGATCAGTATATTCCCCTGTCATCATGGTAGAATCTGTCATGTCAAAGAGAAACTTTCTCCCTTTCCTCATAGGCAATCCTCCCTTGTTTTGTGTTTCATTCCTCAAGTAGGGAACAATGGTGTTGCTAATGAGGACAGAAAGTGCAGAGACCAAAAGGCTGGGTTTGCTTTCCTTTCATGCTATGATTTCTTCTGCTTTTGTGTCACATATGTTTCAGTCCCTTCTATGGTTAGCAGAGTGTCCTCTAGATAAATACCTTAAAAATTCTCTGAGTTGGTACAAAATAATAGTAATATTGGAGGATTTCAGATTTTTTTTTCTGTGTCCAACCCCTACAAGCTGGGAGTTTTTTGCTCCTGTGAGACTCCTTTGGTTCACCACTCTCCACCCCAAAAACTTGAAAAACATAAGAGTTTCATACTAATTAAATAGCAAAGTTTGGCAGGAAAGGGTCTGTCTTTTCAGTGTTCTGAAACATCTCCTCCCTCCCCCAATGATCAGGTTGTATAAACAGAATATCCTGTGAATTTAAATGACATTTGTACTATCTGCAGTAAAAGATACTGTCAGAAAAAGTCACCCACAAGAGACATGTATTTGGGAACAAAAGTCACTGAAAAGCTTTATTAAAGTGTTCCAGTAAAGCACATTTTACCAATTGTTTTCCATATTAAGAAGTCTCATAAAAACTGTACATTCCAGATCCCTTATCTGTTCTTAGATAAGGATTATTGTGTCCTATTGGACAAAACTTTGTAGAAGTCCTTTGCAAATACATCTGTAGTATATGATGGCTGTTTCTATTTCATTTTGGAGAACAGGGATTGGGAAGCCTGCAAAAAAGGAACATCAAAGATATTTTTTTGCTGGTAGTGCAATAAGTCTGGCCAGAAATGTTCACAGTTTGCTAACATGACTGAATAGTGGTTAGAGACTACTTCAGTAGGAGTACCTGACTGCCTAGTACTCATGCCATATGCTCCTTTTCTAAAACAAATGTAGAGAATCTGAGATTTGTCAGGGAACTTTTGTCTCAAATACTGAAAAGGAAATAATTAAATCATTGCTGTAATGCTGCTGTACTTAGCAGGGCTTGGGAACATTGCAAGTGGTGTTCAACTAGAAGCTAAAGCAAAGACATTATTAAAATAAATGATTCTACTTGTGAACTTAGAGTTGAAAAAGTGCCACAACGGTTGCTGAAAGAAGAAAAAAGTCAGTATAAATTGAAGTAAAAAGAAATTAAAAGGATGTATGAGAGTGATGAGACCTCAGTGTAGCTGACAACAATTTTATCTTTTAATCCTCCTTCAAGGCATTACTTATTTGAAACAGAGATTAATGTCACACAGCCACCCCAGTGCCTATTCTCCTCTACTCCTAACCTACATAAAAGATTCTGAGATCACCTTTTTTTGAGAAAAAAAGGCCAGAGATTCTGTCAGTTCTTTCATTTTGAGTAGTCCCTAATTATAATAACTTTTGGCAATTAGAGAATTGGGGCATGAAATTTGAAGATACACTCTTTCTTCTGTCAACAGAAATGACTCAGACAAGTCCCTCAGAGGAATAAAGCAGTATAAAGAAAGCAAGTTATTTGCCTTGACTCTCACAATTTTGATCTTTGATATTCTTCAATTTGATAGTCTAAATAAAAAAGATACTTTGCAAGGAACTTAAGGAAAGAAGAGAGGGAATCATTGAATCTTGAAGAGAGATCACACAAACCTCAAGTGGAAGTAATTCTGTAGAAGTCTGGTGTTACTCCATGGTGTGAGGAATCAGAGTCCTGTGCCTTGAACACCAAAGCTAACAAGCCCTATGTAATCTTAGTTATTTTAGAGGCACCAGAACTAAAGAACTTCTCAAGGACTTTCTAAAATCAGTGCTCAATGCCATCATCCAAGAGCTGCCACAAGCCTCATTCCCTGCTCCTTCAGGCAGCAGCAGTCCTCATGCAGGCATTTATAGAGAGGGTGTTTACAGCCACTCACCCAGCCACAGAAGGCACAGCTGATATCACTTTCAAACGAGTGCACTGAATGTGTGAGGAGTATTACCTTGATGATCCAATCCAATTAATCCAATCCAACCCAATCCAATCCCAATCATATTCCTGAGCCCAGCCCCTTGCCTACTGACACCACTTCTATACAGAGCTCTCCCAGGCTTGGGTTGTCTGCCTGTACAAAACTAAGGGCTGTCCAGTCACTCAGAGCACAGTTATCACTGCATTTATTAAAGGTGAAATTGCCTGAAAAAGGTGTGTCTTCACAGCATGTTGCTGTGCTAGGCAGGAAGAATTTTTACTCCCAAACAAAGAATACATTATCCACATCAACATCTTTGATTTCCCCTTATCAGCAGAGGCTACTTCCCTGTCTGTGACTTCCAGGTATGACAATAGCTAAAGTTTAGAGGAAAGTGACTCTGTGTAGCAGGAATATTGTGGCTTATGTACCTCTGTGTGACAGCAAAAGCGCCAAGAGTGATAAAAATGAAGTGATACGAACAACCATAGCACATACATTAACTGCAGTAAGATAGTGTTGAGAGGTGGTTGGTTTGGTTGTTTTTGTTGTTTTTTTTCTTTCTCCCTGTAAAAACACACACCAAAAGAAAAATCTGAGCACTCAGAAGCAGAAGGGAAGGACTGCACCCTGCCATCCAGCATACTGACAGACACATGGATAAATAGCCAGAGGCTCTCCTAGGCCCCAGCTAACTTGTAAACACATGTGGGTTCCACATGTTCACTTCTGCTCTGAGGTTGGTTTCTGTCTCTAAATAGAAGCCTTGGCAAGCTTGCTGCAAGTCCTGGGGACTCTGTTTTCTTATTAGAGCAGAGATGTCTGCTCCAGAGCCAGCCGACCTGTCCTTCGGCACATGTACCCCTCCAACTGCTTCTGAGAGCTCTCACACCTCTGCCTCTAAAAATCATCCTGTGGATGGCATAAGGCTTTATAAACTGAAACTTAATATTTTAATTTTAATTTTTAAAATTATTTCTTCATTTAATTTAATTTTTTTAAAAATTTTATTTAAGTCCCTTTTTACCTTTGTTTTGCTTCTCAACTTTTGGACATCATAAAAGGTTAGCAAGCAAAGTTTTGAGCAGAATAAAGTTTAGGAGGACTTAGATCTATTATTTTACAGGCTTAAAATACTTTTCCATTTGAATTATTTTGGTTCATAATCTATTCAGTTTTGGCTTTATCACACATTTTTCACAAACATTACCAAGGGGCTTCTGATCTGTTCTATTCAGATATATATTTAAAAAGCTAAGGAGCTCCAAGAATACTGATAAACCCTTCATTTGATCCAGAACCATGGTTATTTTTATATCCTCCAGATACACACAAACCTCTGAAATAGTTTATACTGTAAACAGATTTTTAAAATCCAGTCCTAACGACAGAAGATTGGGAGGGGGATAAGTTAATGACAATTTTAGTACACTGAAGACGTGCTTTCTGGGAGTTCAGATATGGTAACACTGATTTAGAGAACAGCCAAAGGCTTTAATCTAGAGATACTGGCACAATCAACGCTCTGCTCTGGTCTTTCAAGCCAAAATATTTGCACGCAGTTTTACCTCAGCCTTCCCTTCCGCTCAAAACATCATGCCTGTCTTCACAAGCCAATTCTTAAAATGTGGCAGATGTTGAAGCACTTCATAAACGGCCCTTGAAAATTAAGACAGCTACTTCTTGAGACCCATCCCTGAAAAGTGGTGAAGTATTTCTGCAGCTCATATGATATCCTTGGTTCCTTCCATCATCGTAGCCAAGGGTGGCTCATTTTTTCCACAGAATGTACTGCAGGAGCTTCAGATACCTGAAGCAGCCCTAAACACGAGTTTTGAGCTGTATCAAACACCCAGACTTCAGCAGATCTTTTAGCTGACTCAAATATAATATATTTCCCTTTACCATGATCAGTCCTGTGTCCCTTAAACATGAACAGATTCTCTCAACAGACAGCTTAATAATGCTATGGATATCTGCTTTTACCAGTGAAACCCTGTCTCTCAAAGATGATATTCAAGTTTATAATGTGAAAATTCATATTGTCCTTTGATTATTCTTTTATCACTATATTTTTGAAATATGTGAATTTGAAGGAGACAACTAGTGGAAAAAAAACAGTGGATATTTTTAAGGTCCAAGTTTTTGAGTTTATTACGAATTTTGCAGGTTTAGTTGATGTCCAGTGGTTTGATCTCCTTCCTTTTTCTCTTCTTTTCAACAACAAAACACAAAACCAAAATAATATAAACATGCCTGAACTGAAAGTCTGAATTTCAGAGATTGCTCATTCAGGAGATGGAAACTGATATCCTGTAGGTGAAACACTAAAGCAATTTAAACTCATCTGAAGGCTGAATTTCCTATTGATAACCTGCCACCCAGTTAGTTCTGGTAATTTTTGGTAAAAACTCAGGAATTTAGGTTTCTTTCCTCCAAGAGTGCAGTCTTGCTACCATCTAGTGGCTAAAATAAAACTTTGCACTAATTTCTTTCCATACAGGTATTCAGACACAGCTGTCTGTATGTGTCCTAAAAATTTGTTTGGGGATCTTATATTCATCAGCACAAACATGTGACAGGTGAGAACATTATAAACTGATTCCAAGAAAGAAGCCCAAAACAGAGTTGTTTGTGGTTTTGTTTTCCAAATGGGTAAGAAGGTAGGAGTTCTTTACAACTCAGACATATTGCATAACTTTATTGGAAATTTAGACCTCTACTGATTTCAAAAGAGAAGTCTGGGAAGCTTTTGATGTTGGCTCTTTCTGACAATCAGATCTCACTTGGTCTTGAAAGACACACGTGGTGAATTATTCTGATGTGGAAAATGAAGACTTATATCTAATGGCAATTTTTTTTTTTTTTAACTGGATGTGGGACCTAAAGAAAAATATTGTCTAGAGATCATTTGCTGCACCCTAAGTTTAGCAGCTAGATGTAATCAGTTGAAGAAAATTAGAGAGATCTCTTCAGGACATGAACTGGTCAGCAACAAAATGTAACATGTAAACTATTTAATTACTGATCAAAGATCTTCAATCTTCCCATTTTTTCATGATCAATCTCACTGCCCTTGCACGGACAAAATGTATTTTTTGTTCCATGCTGGGGAGCAGTTTTTCTGGTGGATTTTTACATATACTGACACTGCCATCTAGTGACACACGTACGAATAAATAACAAAAGTTTAATTCAGGAATTCTGAGTGGCTTGGAACTTATTGGTAACCCAAGGAAGAAACTCCAGTTATTAATCAATCTTTCCATTTGGTCTTATGAATCAATCTTTCTACATTTATAACTTAAAATAAGGGGTGCTTAGATATATTGGAAATAGTATTATTTTTGAGAAGGATCTGCAGTGTGGAAAACTTTATTCACTCAGGTTTCCTAGGCAAGGCAAAGCAGTGGGTGTGTGGTGTCTCAAGGCCACGCTCATAATTCAAACCCCATTGGAGCTCTCCTTAGTGAAGGATTAGCAACAATTTTAAGCAAGTTCTCCAAGTAAGCCAGAGGGATGTTTGGCAGTATTAAAGTAATTTCTAGTTTTTTCCAGCAGAGAAATGAAGGCACATAATATTTTACAGAAATTCTCTGACTCAGGCCAACAAGGAGAACAAAACTAGCAATTTCCACAACCTTGTCTTCACCATAATCTCACACAGTACTCTACAGCGAGCTTCAAATGTGATTTCTTATGGTAGTAAAGGCATTTTAGGGCAAATCCTAAATGTTCAGAGTGATCTAGATACCAAAATATTAATTTAAAACTTTATACTGTCTTTTGGGATCCCTGAAAATTACAACTGCTGTGTTTATTTCTGTATGTGTTCCAGACCTTGAAGACTTTTCTTCTTGCCCTAGCTTTAGGGACTAAAGGTAAGGTAAGCTGAAATAAATATTGTAAATAAAAGAAATGGTGCATTAAGAAATTCCACAGGAATGGATGAAGGAGAACCAACTCCTAGCCAATTAATAAAAAGAATGAGTCATGCCCCAGAAAATGTTGGAATTAAAGTATTTTTCTTCCCCAAATTTAAAAAATTGACATTATTTGAGTACTCCTTTCAGCTCAGAGTGACAGAATGGGCTAGAAATTATGACTAAAATGGAAACATGCAAGTAAGATCAATCACATCTGTAATTCTTGGCAGGCCAAGATGCACAACCTGCACATGTTCAGTGTCCCTATTGCCTGTTCTGCTGCTGAGCCAATACCTGAGGCAATGTCCAGTGTATGAAATCATAAAATTAGAGACATTGTGGGGCTGTATTGTGCCAGGGAATGCATCACATAGCACGGTTCAGAGTATACTGGTTTTGAACTAGAAAGTCCACAGCAAAGCTGCAGGCTCAGGGCTCCTCCTGCCAACCCCAACAGGTATCACATCACTTCCATTAACTGAGGACAGCCAGCCTTTAGCCAGACAAGGAAAAAAAATATCAGCTTCATCTAGAAGCTGATTAAGTCACAGGACTATCTAAAACATGGAGAGTTTCAGTCTACCAATGTTTGAAGTGTGCAGTATTGCACGCTTTCAGCAACCTGGGCTAGTGAGAGATGTCTCTGCCCATTGCAGGGGGATTTGAACTAGCTGATCTTTACCCAAATTATTCTGTGAACCCAAAGCATGGTCTCTTTATTGTTACAAAGGTGATAGATGATAGATAGGTAGATAGATAGATAGATAGATAGATAGATAGACAGATAGATGTAGATATATTTTTATCTATATATGAGAAATTTATAATTTCTGATATAAACCCATGTGAGCATGTACATGTTCTTTTTCCTTTCAGTATCAAAACCCCCTATTTTTAGATGTTTACACCTCAGCTTGTAAAAACTGAATTACTTTACCTTGTGCCTGCAAATTTACTGAGTCTGCATTT